CGAAAACCACAGAGGAATTAGTTTAATTAACATCGTCTCGCTGGTATTATACTCCATCGGTCGTCTGTGGTACGTGAAGAGTGCACACGTGAGAACCAGGCTGGTTTTAAACCTGATCGAGGTTGTATCGACCAAACCTTCACTCTTCATTAAATTCTGTAGCACAGACACTACTTTCGCAGATCCGCCATTTCTATCTTACTCGATCTGAGAGCGGTTTTCAACTCAGTCGACCGCTCTAAACTCTGCCACTGTCTTTCTCTGAAGTTTACCCGAGAAGTTTATTTCAATATTACAATCCCTTTATATTAATAGCCGAAGCCGAGTCCGAGCTTACGGCAAATTTTCACCAGAGTTCACCACGGAAAGTGGTGTTCGTCAGGGTTGCCCTCTCTTTCCTTTTCCATCTTAATTTTGTTGTACATTTGATTATGGAAACAGACCTATCCTCGTGCGAGGACAGTGGCATTGATTTACTCCCAAGTGGCAGACTGTCTGGTCTAGAGTATGCAGACAACATTGTGCTGCTAAGCGAAGATACAAGTTTGACTGTTATTGTATCTGGTTGGCATGCGTTTTGCAACTTCAAAATGTAAAATTTTGCTGCAAGATTGGGTTGGTCTAGCCCCCAACCTCTCCCTAAAGTTGTAGAGGAGGTAGACAAATTTTGTTATCTGGGCAACTATATCTCCCCCAGCGGACGCATCACAGATGAAGTGTCGGCGTGCATACAAAAGGCTCGATTGGTATTTGTCAACTTGAGACATTTGTGGCGCAGTCGCGACATGCTGCAGCAGTTCGGCCAGTCCTGCTGTACGGTACAGAGACTTGGCCACTACAGGAACAGGATAAAAATAGATTATCGGTGTTGGAACACTGCTGTCTACGTCTCATTGCACGAGTCTGGTGGGATAACCGGACGAGAAATGCTGAGATTAGGCGTAGAGTTTTAGGCAGTTGCCGTCATTCACTGAAGCAAGTGATCGACCTCCATAGATTACGTTGGTTGGGACGTGTTACGCATGTCACCAGATAGGTTGCAAGGTGAGCGATATTTGGTGAGGTAGTTAAGCCCTTCGGAAAAGGTCAATGCGGTCAAACGCACTCCTGTCACGAGGGTATGAGAACCGTAACCAGGAGACTGGGTCACATAGGTCCCGTTAGGCTCCCTGGCCGGGGACCCCGAGATCACGGTCACCGAGGGTTAGAGACACTAAGTGATACATCTGGGTGTCGCGAACGGTGGGGCTCATGGATCTACCCATTATTCTCGTAACTCCAGTCTATATGATTTCTCTATCTTATGCTTGAATTTACTCTCAACATTCCAATCTTGATTCTGCTTCTTTGTCTAAATGGGCGGCCAAAAGACAACAACCAAAACCGATGCATGAAAGTGCATGGTTATTGGTTGTAAAAACTGAACTGAACTATTCAAGCACAGTTGTGACAGATGAATTTCAAACTTTGTGATAGGAATAAAAGAGAGATTTCAGACTAAGAGGCTAACACATTATAGAAAAGATATTGTAAAGAGTACGATGATGCAACGAAGTGACAGTGTGCTTATGGATTACTTCCATTACCGGATTAAGCTACCTGGTAAAGTTGTTTGTTGTATAACATTTAAACATGATTTGGTTTACTGCACTCACCGAACAGTAAAAGTCCACACAGCCATCATCACTCAAAGAAGGCCATCGGGTATTTTCTTTTGTATTGTCCTCGATATCATGCAGAAAAACAAAACACAGTACTGAGGCCACTTGAATTAGATATGCGTGCTGACTCGGTGGATTGTTTTGAATCAGTGCCAATAAAAAGTGAGGATCCGTGAAAATAGCCTATGAACAGGATCAGAATGGCGATTAACAGATAAATATGGTCTAGAAATTTGCAATCTAAGATGTTCTTTATCGTATTCAATCAGTTTAGGATAATGATTAAGGGGAAAATGTGGTACCCCGGTAAGCATGATCTTTTCTCTTTTATACGCGTCGAAATTTACACTTACCCCTTGGAGTATTTCGTCATAGCCCGTAGCGCACTGCAGCACTGAATCCGCACCAAGAACCAAAACCCCGAGTGAGAGGATCGTCTCCAATTCCATCGGTTCAATGTTGAAATAGGCGCAATGTTGTTCTGGGTTCATGGGAGGCTGAGTATCCACTCGATACAAATGGTGCAAACCGTGTGTGCGGGACGCAGAGCAAAACATTTTGATAACTGAAAACCAATTGAGAAGAGTAACGGGGCCGTACTGTGTGTACACAAAACGATTTATTTTTTCCAGTTTTTGGGGAGAACAGAGTAAGCATTGGCAATCGGGAACGAGTACACTCAAATTTAAGCTCGTGAACAAGTTTCTCTTGTGGATTTATTATGTCTTTCTCTGCTTCATTCATCCAAAAGTTTTACCGGATTCAACNCCAGTCAACGCAATCCACAAACCGTACTGATTTAGCTACTTCAGTTTAATTTTCTCTGAAAATCTTCTCCAGACTTGACTGTGAGCGTTTTGATTCCTGTTACCCAAAAACTGTGGCATTTGTTGTCTCTTACAAATATTCCCTTTTGGGAACCGATAAATTTGCGTAGATTTGTATATAGACAAACGTGAAATAAGCACCACTTTGGTACACATGAAAAGCTTGACCGAGCTTAAAAAAAAATATACGGACTAATTTATCAATTTGAAATGAATTCGTCAGTTGACCACTACCATCGCATTAAATGGAAAAGCATGAGCACAAGAACGATCCGCCCACTCATCGTAAAACGATGAAAATATTTTACTCCTGTTTGAAAGGTGCCTTTTTCACTCATCTCTGCATTGGCCTCCAGGGATGGAAAATGAAAAAGACATCTGATTTACGTGATCACGCGGTTGATTGTTGGCTGTTGATGGTGTAGCTCATGGGCGCAGCTTTTGGCTCCCAAAACCATCAGTTCACAAATTAATGGTCCCGGCAGACATAAAAAATAGCACGCACTACTGATGCGCTCCAGCCAGAATGAAACAGCTATTCGTTGCTCTTTGCCAGCCTCAACACAAATTATTCGACAACCTGAAGAGTTGGATTATTTTCCAAACTAGTTTTACATCACACTCGCGAAGGCTTTTCACATGTTTTCCTTGAACTGATTTTTCAATTATCGCATTTGATTTGATGACAACCGGGAAAGGTCTCATTAATTACAAATCATCTGATGGTTTATAGCTTTTAGTTAACCAGGCGTAGTTTTGTTCTGGCAACAAGCAAATCCCAAAAGACCGAGAGAAGAAAAAAAGATCACCGATGTATTTTTAAAAATTAGGAGAATTTTAGTTAAGTTTCCATTATGCTGGACAGTACCTGACGGAGACGGGTATAACTCTGACCGAACTAACAGGAAATTTTAAACAAATCCACAATGAATTCTAAGGGTAAAACAAACGTTTACTGTACAGATCAGTCCACTGGCATGTCACCACAACGACCGGGACCATATGGATTGCCAAAGGACTGTCAAACTTACTTTGAACAAACGAATGCTCGTGCACGTGGATTAGACAACGCAGCAACACTCTCAGCAGACGATAGCGGTTTGAGGAACGTTGTTCACTTTCGATCAAATTCCCTAACAGGTCCAGCACTGAAAAAGTTTATATATATATATATATGAACAGAAAATCCAAAACAAACCTTGTTGAATTATTTTCAACAGTCCTGCGGTTTCTGTTGAGTGTTGACTAAGTAAGTCTATTGAGTACTCCAGAAGAGAAATGTAGATGTCCTGGAATTCAACTGGTTTGGGAAAAATAAAAGGCAAATGTTGTAACACAGAGAGAGAGAGTGATGGAACGCATTGAAAGAAGCCATTTACCATACAAAATATGCTGACAAAAGGATTGAATTCTTCCTTATGAAGTCGTGCATGAGACGACAAATTTGAAACAAACCTCTAAGCTTTTGCAATCCACCTTCAGTAATTTGTATTGTACTGTATTGAATCTTTAGCCAATTGTGTACAAGCTTCAGCCAAAAAGGAAAACACCGTCGCAATACTGGCAAAAACAAGATGGGGGGAGTGGTAAAACAAATATGCAAAAATGTGAATTAACTAAACACATTAGAAAGCACAGAACAAACACTCCTTGTCGGTCAGCATCCGGGAAAGATAGGGTACTAAAGAGTTCCTGTCGGTAGATATCCGAAATGGAATGAGTTTGGATTTGAAAAGACGTGTTGGGGTGGGATTTTCATGCACAAGCTGTATGCTAATGGGTGCAATCAGAGCGCATATTGTCAGCAAACTTCAAGAAAGGATCAATATGACTCTCACAGACAGTGTCCATCAGAACAGATAACAGAACTACGAAAACACGGCTGATCATTGAGAGGCCACGCCTCGGCAACTTGAAATCAGCCTTCAGCAAACTTGGGGAAATCACAGGGGAGCAGTTCAGGGGTATAGAGAGAACACATTACTGCACAAAAGCTCCTATCACTAACAAATCAGAACAGAACTGACGCAATCTTCTTTTCTAAAGGGAGAGAACTTTCATCTGGCGGGCAACAGTTTGGGTATGTAAAGACCAGCGAAGGTTACTTACAAGTGTGACCCCTAAGTACTTCACATAGCTGTTCATCGGCCTTCTCTGAATCTGTACATTGTCCGAAGGAGATGGGAAACAGTTTAACGAAAAAACACATTCAAGTCGACAGTTAGGCGTGCTGGTTCAGACAACTTATCACAGTCTAACCGTCGTTGTGTCGTGCGTTAAGAACGCCCACCGAAGCGCCTGAACAGCCTGGCGCAAACTAACGCGTGGTCCATTTGGGAGGGCTGCTCTAGTGCGATCGGCAGTCTTGTGTGCAGCCCCACCGTTTGTGACTTCTAGTGATGTGGTCGATCTACGTCCGTCTCTGACTCGAGGGGGCGGCCGCCAAGTGGCGTACCGGTGACTGGAACGTCTGATGTTCGTACTGGCGAGGAATGGGCGGTGGTCCGAACACTGAGCCAACAACCGTTCCCCAGAGTCCGAAAGACAGAAATCTACTCCGAGCGGAAATCCTAGGTGCGCCTCACTCGAAGTCAGCCGATCTACCCTAGCATTCAAATCTACTAAAATCACGATATCAGCCCCAGTTGCCCTACGCAAGAGGTTGTGTCGATTATGGTAAAATTCATCTTTGAGTGCATCTAAGCTGCAGTCCGTTGGGGCGTACGCCGACACGACAGTTCAGGTCAGTTGTACAACGATTAACCATGCACCTTCGTGTGGCGGTTTTGGTAACTGTCTTTTGGTTGCCCATTTGGATGAGGAAAAGGAGAAAGACAGGAAGGTTGAACCTCTGAGTCTCACTGCGCACAATCTACTGTCGACTGGGATTCAATCCAGCTCAATGAGAGCCACACCAACGCCAGAAAGACCGGAACCCGCAACATCAGGGCCTACAGTGAGGCGTAAGTGAAATTTCAATGATGAGTTTGATGGGGACGTCAATCGGATAATGGACGGTAAAATGGTAAAAGCAAAACTATTAACTTTGCGTAAGAATTCATCTCCAGGCCCACAAAACATGGGATTCTCATCCTACTAGCCAATGTCATATGAAAAACATCTGGCTGTTCTTTACCAAGGGGTATTTGACAAGGCGGTAATTCCTCATTCATGGAAGGAAGGGGTGATTTCACCTATTTACAAAGGAGGTTCTTGCAGTGACCTCGCCAACTACCGCCCAGTTGCGATTCTTCCGGTACTGGCGAAAGTCATGGAGGCTATTGTGGCAGATCTGTCGATGGAGTATCTGGAGAAGTATGATCTCTTGTGTCCAGCACAGCACGGATTTCAGCACAAACGTTCATGCACCACAAATTTACTTCTTGCAGATGAGATGAGTGGACAAAATCAGTCGACACACAGGAATCATTGAACGTAGTTTATTTGGATTTCAACAACGCCTTTGATCGAGTAAATCAGATTCTACTGTGAAAACTGCATAAAAACGTTGTGAAAAGTCTGGTTCTTGAGTGTATCAAGGAGTTTCTCAGACAAAGAACCAAGTAAGTTTGTGTTGATTATCTGAACCCATGCCACTGTTCGAGGGGTTCCACGAGGATCCGTACTGGGGCCTTGTCTTTTTCTTGCATTTACAAACGACCTACCACATGTCTTTGGGATAAATACAATGCTTTTAGCGAACCATGCTAAAATTGATTTCAGGTTGGCCTAATCTTGATACACAACAAACTGCACCAAGCCCTCTTCCCTTGGCGTTTTGTGATGACTTTTTCTCAAAATAATCATCTCAAGGTACATCCACTGAAGTTGAAGACCCAGAACGGTCACCCAGAGTGCCGGTATCAGTCGTTTGCAGTCAGAGTGCGGTGTATGGTATTCACTGCTATTCCATGTTGTGTGGTCTTGCAGTTGAATTATTCAGATCAAAGTTTGATAAATCATTGAAACACTTAACAGTTCAACAGCTGCGAGTGATCATGCATAGTATAAATTTACGAAACATTCTGTAAAACGTCTACGATACATGATAAGTGTTTGCTTTGTCAAGTCCCTTGTAAGAAAGCCTTGAACTATGGCTGTGGGGTTCACAAAGATTCAGTCTGAATCCTGAAACCGATAAAAACCTTTTGTTTCCCTGTGACAAAAATTTTGTGATTGACTTGAATCGGATTTATTTATATTTAGGCTTTAGCATATAATGCACAAGAATTTGATTGGAAAGTCATGCGGAAATTAAATAGGTCAGTATTGCTCCAATTTTCAGTGATGACCAGACTATGCTGTGAACTGCAAGTAAATGGTGCATGTACAATAACCCAAACCTCAATCAGTGCGTGTAAAAACCCAAATGGGCTGATCCAAACATGCCGCTCAATAGGGGGACGCACTGAATTGGATCGTGTACACGCCAATGCAACTCAAGGATCGAATAACGCAACAAAAGCTCACGTCGTGATCAGAGAAATGACCCAAAGCGACAGAAGAACAACCCCCTCATCCCCTCGCACTAGTTCAACGGTGAACCAGGTAACTATGAGTTAGGGTAAGCGACAAAAGTTAGGCAGTGGAGAAGAACACATGTGAACGAACTGGTACGAGCAGAATACTGCCACTTCAAAAGCGCTGACGATGTCATCTCGGCGGGTGATAAAACGTTTGCAAGCAAATGGCCCAGATCGGCGAACAGGTGAAATGGAATTCAAACACAATATACCAAACATGCTCGGTTTTCCACACCAAGGTAATGTTAATCACTTTTTTGACTGATGTAGTTTAAGAAGGCATGTAAAATCATAATCCTTGGCGTAGTGATGCTTGACATGGGTTTTTCCAAAGATTGGGTCATTGTTGTTACAGATCTCGTGTCTGCCGAGAACGAAACAAAAGAAATAGCGAGAGCTGCCATAAAGGCAGCAGCAGAAAATTATCGCACTACATGTTATCACGTAACCCAATTCCAGTTTCAGTTTACCATTTCAATATCAATATGACATCCGCTTATCCTTGAAACGTCAACTGAACGGTGTTTCAGTTCACTTGATTGTATTGTGTACGCAGTCGTATCAAACGTCTACTAAGATAGAGAGAATAAAAGAAAAGTTGTTGAAATTAGGCTACTAAAGAAAACTAAGTATATCAAGGACAATGTTGCCGGAATTTCAGAAATCTGAGTTGGCTTGGATATGTGATGAGCGCATTCTCAGATTGACTTCCTCGCCGGGTACAGACGAGGAAATCGATTGAAGAAAAGTACATTTTTAATTCATGATCTAGCAAAACAATTTAAAAAATCTGGCCATAGATTCAAGTTGAATAGAGTGCGTTAGATTATCTACAGTTGAGGCCCAAAGGATTCTTCCCATTGGCAATCAAAGCTGCTCAGTT